CGGGAAAGCAGCCACGGGCCTTTACTCCATAGTTCTCGAATCTTCTCCCTCTGGAAGCTAACAGCACGCCTTCCCCGCTGGCCTTCCGACTCCCCAGCTACATGGTTCCTCGTTCATAAAGTGGGGAGAGGGCAGCTCCCCACAAGGTGGGGTTCAGTGGGAGGGTGTGTGTGGAGGGGCAGCTCATCAGTCCTGTCATGACGATGGGGGTGCTGGCGTGGGGGACAGCTGCCGGCCGGGGGACAGGTTGCTCCCTGCTGCCGCGGCTGCTTGCAATTTCCGTTCGGGGGTCCACATTTCTTCCCTGAAGAGGACCCAGTCGGGCGGTATCAGGAGGAAGACCATGGTGCGACATGCGCAGCCTTGTGTTCTTCCTGGAAAAGAGCCGTGGGACCCGGATCACTCCGCTCTGCTCCTCCCAACCTGCCCACGTCCCTCGCGTGTGATTCACATCAGCTCCCGTGGAGGCCGCCCCCCTCTGGCAGGTGGTTTGAGCATCCCACCAGCATCTGGACGACCTGATCCAACACTGGCTTCTCTCTCACTCGCAGGGAGGGGGGCAGGGCGTTCCTCCCTCGCAGCACATCGCCCGGACATCCCCACGGATCCCAGAGGTAGGCAGGTCTCCCCAGGGCCTCTTTCCACCGAGCACCCCCTTTCCTTGGAGTCTAAGATGACGGTGCGGAAACGAGCACTAGAGGACCGCGCTGAAGATAGAACAGCATGCACAAACCTGCACACACCTTGCAACCTGGCGCCAAAACACAGGAGGCAAACACGGGTACGACTGAAGGGAGAAGTGGTCCATCCTCCAGGTGTAGTTGGAGATTTCGATATCCTACACCACCAACCGAGTAGACCGCCCGACAGCACCCACCACACTCGGTGCTGCCAACGGCAAAATGCACACCGTCCTCAGTGGGACACAGAACATCCTGCAAGGTGCAAAAAGTGCTCGGTCACAAAACGAGGAGCGAAGCATTGAAGAGAATCGCTCTCACACAAAGCACGCGCTCCCACCACAGGGAGCGAGGTGAGAAGGGCAGCGACAAGGCCCTTTGGGAGCCCCACAACCGCGTGCGAACGAAGCAGCAGGCCTCTAAATAACCGGCGGGGCCATGACGTGTCTTCTGAGCTGCAGGGAAAGGAGAGTACCACAGGCCAACATTCATGGGACGGAGCCAAAGTCCTGTTTCGAGGGAAACTTAGACGGTAAATGCCTGGATAGGAATAGAAAAAATCTCAAGTCGGTGCTTAAATTTTGACCCTAAGAACCTACAATCCCAAGAAAAGGACTAAACAGTGAAACCGAACGCGAGTTCTTTGGGAAGAGCAACACAAGTGCATAAAGCAGTAGCTGACTGACCAAACTCAGAAGGTGCGGTGGGGCAGAGGGAAGGGGAGAGACACAGAGACTCCAAAATCAGGAACGGAAGAGGAGGACTGACACCAGAATAATTCAGAAACTGAAAGCATTTTAAGGGAACACTAGTAACAACTGCTTGCCGACAGTTGAGAGAGCTTAGATGAGACGCAGGCATCTTTGAAAGACACACACTGGAAAACTTTCTTTTTTTTTTTAATGTTAAAAAGATTTTATTATCAGAGTTTGGAAGACAGAGGACTCACCCTGGCGTGCCCCGCGGTGACCCTGGGGCTCCGTCGGGGGTGGTGCCCCCGAGGGGACGTGATCGGTGGAGGGTTCCCCCCGGCATGAGTTGGGACAGGCACTCGCCGGGCATCCGTCCCTGAGGCCCTCTGTGTGCTGGCTCTGGGGTCAATGGGACAATGCTCTCCGGGGGGGCCTCTCGTGAGGTCTGATGCTCCGCCCTGGGGGGTGCACGTATTTCCTAGGCCTAGGAGTGTTGGACTACCGGAGGCTGGGCACCAACTTCAGGGACTACGCCATTGTGTTCACCCAGCTAGAGTTCAAGGACGAGGCGTTCAACACCGTGGAGCTGTACAGTAAGTGGTGGACACCACGGGCAGGCCCCACGAACTCCCTGCCACGGGCGGCCACGCTGGGCAACCTCCCGCTGACTGTGCTGAGCCCCGGGCCTCCAGGGTCCCAGAGCAGCACCCCTGCCCTTCGGTCCCCTGCTGGAGGGGTGGCTGGGGCACGGGGCACACGTGGTGAGGGCTCCCCTCCCGCCCCACAGGCCGGACAGAGCTGGCCAGTCAGGAGGCCCTGCACCTCTTTGCTAGGTGGAGCCAGTCCTGGGCTTCCTGTCTCAGCAGCAGGCCACATTGAGGCCGGACCATGAGGGTCACCCGATGCCCACGGGCCCCTGACTGACTTCTGTGGGTCTCGGGGGCCCTCCGAGCCTCAGGGAGTCAGGCAGGGTGGGGGTGGGGAGCTCTACACGGAGTCCCCTGCTCCTGCCCAAAGCCAGGCCTGCAGGGCCGGCCCCGTCTCGGGTGAGGCCGTGGGCAGAGCGGGGTGGCCGCAGTGTGTCCTGGGTGCCCACACTCACAAGTCCTCTTCCCCCCCAGTCACCTGTGCGCACAGGGCTTTCCAGGTCAGCTGTCCTCCTGAGCATCAGCCCAGATCCTACACCCCAGAGCTCTACCCCGAGAAGGCCCGGGGCCCGGGACGGGGCTGACACCCCTCGAGGTGAATCTGGGGTCCTGCAACGCTCTGCTTGGGTTTCAGTGAATGCATCGACCTCCCGGTGGGACTGTGCCCACCGAGTCCTGTGAGGCTGGCCAGGCGCTGGCCTCCTTGCTCAGCCGCCTGGGAGCTTGGTGTGGGGCGGGCTGCTCTCAGGACTCACGGCAGTTCCAAATAAAACGATCCCACAAGGCCCTACAGATGCCTCTCACCTGTGTGCCGAGGGCGGACGGCAATGTCAGACGGGGCGCTGCCCTCTCGGGGCTCCGGTCGGTGCAGGGGGAGGAGGTGGGCGTGGGGCTCACCAAGGGCTGGGCCATACAGCCCAGAACCAGCTCTGGGTGGGGGGCACGTGGACGTGGGTCATGGCTCCTGAGTGGGGGCTGGGCTGGGGGCAGCTGCTCCGCAAGCAGAGGTCACCACATTCCCTGGGCTGGAGGGAGGACTGTCTGTCTGAGTTAGAGCAGACCCTCGGGGGTCTGGACAGGTGCGGGCTGACGCAGTGGGCGTGGGTGCCCACCAGGGTGCGCGGCTGGGGTGCCACAGTGTCCAGGGCACAAGAGTGTGGCTTTCCCAGGCCTGGGGCTTTGGGGCCAGGGCAGGGGGCAGGATTTCAGAGGGACCGAGCCTGTGGCTCCTCCTGTGGTCTGGTGGGGCCATGCCTGGCGTCGTGGCGGAAGCTAGGCTGGGGGCTGCCCATCACTCACGGAGAGGGGCGGTGCGTGCAGGCTAGGGGTGGGCACGCTCACACACATCCAGCAGCCCTGTCCGTCAGCACCTGCTCGGGACGGAGAGCCCTGCTGTCACGCTGGTGCCATCTGTGCCCCATCGTCACCGTGGTCCTGCTTCTCACGTGCAAATATCTCTATGAAGTGACTCACAGGGACGCCTCCCAGCTGCTTGCCTCTCTTCCGCGGGGGCTGGGATGGGAGGCCCAGGGGTCTCACAGGGGAACACGATGGCCTTCAAATTCAGGCAGCACCCGCCAGGCCGAGCCCCTAGGCCGCCCGCCTGTGTCCCAAAGCCCCTCTCCCCCCACATTGACCCACCCCAGGCTGGCTCAAGGCTCTGGGTTGGCTGGACGCCCACGGCAGGGTCAGGTGGGTGGGGAGACTTGAACTCAGTGCCCCGGTGGCCGAGGAAGGAGGGTGACAATGGGACCAGGGAGGCTGACGTGTGTGCTGGTCTTGGCGCTTATGCCTGCTACGGGGTCCCGGCCGCAGGGACAGCTACCCAGGGAGTCCGACAACCTCAACTGGAACAAGGTGAGCCACACACCTGCGTTCCCCAAGGCTGACAGCCAGGCCGACCGGGGCCAGGCATGCAGTGTGTGTGGTGGCTGGAAGATCACTCCCTGAAAATCTCCAAAGGGCCATCCTGGAACAGGGGGCAGTGCCGCGAGGGCGGAAGGAGTTTCAGGCCCTGGCCTCTCTCTGAGGAGCTGGTGGCCACGCAAGAGGGGGGAGGGCCGAGGGCCCCAGGCAGGTGCTGCCTCAGGGCACCGGGGATGCTAGGTGGGCAGAGGCCGAACGAGCAGAGCGTGTTCCAGAACAACCAGATGGCTGGCAGGTGGAAGGTTCTAGTGGAGGTGGCCGTGGGAACTGACTCCCCGGGAATGTGGGTTTGTGGCAGGAAGTCAGAGGGATGGGGCCGAGGGCTGAGCTGGAAGGAAGGGGGAGGCCTTTCACAGGAAGGGAATTCCAGCGCATGGTAACCACAGCCCAGCCCTCGGGGCCCCAGCACACCCGGCACCTGCCCGCCAAGGCCCAGAGGGGCAGCCGGGGCCCTGTGCAGGGGCTGTGCCGACCTGTTGGTGCTGGACCCGGCCCGGGCCTCAGGCCAATGTCAGTGTCCGGTGGGTTCCCGAGGGCCCGGCTGGGAGCCTGGCACGGGCAGCTACGCCAGCACGCTCTCCACAGTTTTCAGGGTTCTGGTACATTCTGGCTGTCGCCTCTGAGGGCCAGAGATTCTTGCCAGGCAGAGACAGGAGGAAGCTGGGGGCATCGATGTTGGAGGTCCACAAAGCGGGCCAGCTGAAGGTGGTCCTTGCCTTCAGCCAGTGAGTGGACCGGGGAGGGGGCCCAGCACATTCTTCACGGAGCCCTGACCACAAACAGCCCAGACATCTCCCTGTCAAGAGGGGAAAGGGAGCCGGGGGCGGGGGGAGCCAGACCCACGATCACCTGCACATCTGACAGACCATCTCTGCGGCCCCGAAACCCTTCCTGCCCCTAAAAATTAAGGCCTGATTTTGGGAGAGGCCACCACGTACACGGGAGCACTCGGCAGAGAGTGGGTGTTCCAAGGGTTTCCCTTAAGCTGTGGGACTGACCCTGCACCAAACTGGAAAATTCCAGGAAACCAGAGCCAACACAAAGGGCTCCCGCCTTGCCGCCCCCCCCACCAGGTCACAGGGGTGTCAATCACACACATTAATTCTGCGGAAAGATAGGAAAAAGGCGATGTTCAGGAATACTTGTGCATATGAAGGCTGGGCCTGGAGAGAAAGACCTGGGGGTGGGCGTGTCCCCGGCTTCACGGCCACAGGCCCGGGAGAGGCCGCTCCTCTGTCCCAGGGCTGGGTGGATGGGATGGACAGTGGCCCACGGGGCGGGCAGGCAGGCCACGGTCTGAGAGCCCACAAGCATGCAAGTGCCCGCAGCCTAGGCCTAGAAGGTGGTTGGGTGTGTGGGAGGGACTCCTGACCCTTCCCAGTTGCCCCTGCTGTGCAGGCCTGATCGGGCGGCCCCACGCTTCTCTTCCGTTCCAGTGAAGGGGGCGAGGGCTTCCACGTGCTGTCCACTGACTACAGCTACGGCGTGGTCTACGTGCGCCTGGGCCGGGCCGGCCGGACCTCTAAGACCCTGCTGCTCCTCAGTGAGTCCAGTGGAAAAATCTGGGGAGGGGGCGTGCGGGGTGCGGGTCAGGTGGGGGACGGAGGGGCGACAAGCTCAGAGGGTAAGGTATGGAAGCACCTGCCTCAGCTCGGGCTCCCTGACAGAGCACCACAGACCGCACCGCACGGGCGCCCGCGATGGACATTGATTCTCACGGCTCAGCGTGCCGACCTGGCGAATTCCGGGGAGGTCCCCATTCCTGGTTTGCAGATGGCCGCCTCTTCACTATGTCAAGTGTCGGGGAGAGGGCTCCGGTGTCTTCCTCTTCTTATACGGGCACTGACCCCATCATGAGCACCCAGCTAACCCCACACACCTCCCAAGGCCCCAGGACGTCACACCATCCCTCTAGGGCTCTGATGGATGAATTTGGGGGGACACGAACACACATCCGTTCCTGTCACGGCCCTTGCGCTGCGGGCTGGCAGGAAGTGGGAGGTAGGAGGTCAGGGCCGGGACACACACAGCAAACGGGTGGCCAGGTGGGCGGGCGGAGCGCGGCGCCTGGACGGGGGGACCGGGTGGGCGGGTCTCTGGTGTGGCTGCCACGGGGCTGAGTGGGGGCGGCCAGTGCACGGGCGGAGCCCAGAGGGCAACAGGCCCGGAGTGGGACTGACACTCTGCATGGAGGCAGGGGACCCCCTGGGCTGAGGGCAGGATCGGGGGAGCAGGGGGAGGTGGTGAAGGGAGGGTGGGCGGGGAGCTGCTGTCCAGAGAGGGGTGGGGGGAAGGGGGCACAAACCCACTTCGGGGCACCGAGGCCTGCAGGACAGCCATCGGAGAGGTCGGAGGGGTCCCCTGGAGTCTCCGTGGAGGAGGGCGTGGCCAGGAGCGCAGCGGGAGGGGCATCAGGCTCCGGCCCATGGGTCCTGTGAGCAGAGGGGCCTCCCCAAGTGGCCCTCTGTGGTGCCCGCCTTGGGGCTGCACTGGGGACACCCCCCTACCTCGAAGCACAGAGGGGACAGAGGCACACTCCCCATCACCCGCCTGCTGCCCCCTCCCTTGGCAGCACACTGGCTTCTCTGTCCTGCCAGCTCGGAGGGCGCTGCGGTGGCCACGGGCTCGGGTACGGCCCCAGAGGGCCAGAGCTGGGGACTCTGACCTTGTGACTCTGCTTTCAACTGCAGGCAGACAGAGCAGGTCCAGCTTCCCGAGCATGAAAAAATTCGTAGACATACGTGAGATTTGGGGCTCGCAAACGGTGTGACTGTTCTCCCAAAAGATGGTAACAGACGGCCACGGGCCCTCCCGTGCAGGCCAACAGCACGCCCGGCCCCCATCCATCCCGTAGAGCTCACTGCTTCTCTCCCTCCTGCAGCCTCGTGTGCCCACACCATCCTGCCCTGAGAGCCAGCGTCCACCCACCCATCCCCTTGGGGCTCCACCCGTGGTCCCCCTTGACCCCGGGAACATCGCTCAAGACTGCAGGTCTGCACATCCAATGGCCTATTGGGACGCGTTGGAATACCCCAGGCCACTGATGGGGTGAAGTCCAGGGCCATGGCCGTAGCCCAAGCGGGATCCTTTATGATCTTGGAGAGATGGGGATAGGAAGGGGGTAGGAGGGCAGGTGTTGGCCAGGCAGGAGGATGCCCGACCGGGCCCATTCTGCCCACGCCCTCCAGATTACGTGGGGGAAAGTGTCTGCCACACTACTCTGCTGGGAAGTAGACCACGGCTATTGGACCAATGTTGCCTTCTGTATGCCTCCCACAGCGCGTCTACCACCAGTCCCCGTGGGCCCTGACGTCCTACACTTCCTCAGGAAGTCTTTCACTTATTCGCCCAACATTTCCAAGCACCCGTGACATGCCAGGCACGTGCTAGCTGCCGGGGAGAGGCAAACTGGCGAATTCGGTTTCAGAGATCTGATGCCAAGACAGGCTCGCACCAGCACAGCTGCCAGTCACACGACCGCAGACTCGGGGAAAAGTGTCTGGAGAGAGTGCAAAACAACGGCAGTTCTGACTCACGCCGGGTGGGGCAGGAGGGGTCAGGGAGGGCTTCTCGGAGGAAGGGGCAGTCGGAAGAGAGCTGAGGCACAGAGGTAGTTAGGGAAGTTGGGTGGGCTTCCGCAGAAGAGGAAACCACTTGTGAAAAACCCCAGAGTGGTGGAAGCGGAGGGAAGGGTGAGGGGTGGAGAGCACAGGCCGTGGAGGGAGGTTCAGTCCGAGGACAGGGAGCCCCGGGCAGGCTCGGGGGCTGAGCTTGGAGCCCAGGACCCCCAAACGGAGATGCCACGTGGGGGGCTGGAGTTCAGAGGACAGAGAGATGTGGGAGCCGGTCACCTGGAGTCACCAGTATGTAGTTGGCGATGCAATTCGCTGGTGCGGTTAGGGCCACCCAAGGAGAACACAGTAGAACGGCATCAGTCAGCTACTGCCACGTAAGGACCCCCCACAGGATCTCTGTGCTATGAACCGACACGAATGGACTTAGCTTTCCCGTCTGGGCAGCGTGGGGTCAGGTGGTGCAGGCCGGCCCTGCTGGGCGGCGGGGGTCTCCGCAGCTTGCGCCCGCCTTGGGGGGTGGCTGTCCGTGACTGGTTCACGCCGGCTCTGCTGCCATTGTCCCCCTCCCACCGAGGGCGGCCACGTCCTGCTCGTCTCACGGCCACGCCGAGGCCACAGCAGGCGAGGCCACAGCAGGCTGGGAGGAAGGGCGCAGTACAGGACTGCATTTCCGCCTCAGCGGCTAAGTGAAGCAGGGCGAGGGGCCAAACCTCAAGTGCAGAAGGGCCTGCACAGGGTCTGTCGAGGGTCACAGCCCTGGGCACGCGCAGGAGCCCAGGCTGAACCCAGCTCTGTGTCCTCACACAAGGGCCGCACCCAGGCCTTGCGTGGGCTGTGGGTGGGGTGGGGTGTGAGGGTGTCACTGTATAGATGGGGCATGGGGGGGTCAGCATTGAACAGCTGGGGGAGGGGCCCTCGCGGGTGGGGCTCTTGTCTGAGGAGGAAGTTGGGTGAGGGGACCCCGGCCATGGTGACCTCACTTCCCTGACAACAGAGCCCATCAGAATTTGGAACCCAGGTAACCAGGAACCCACATTCCAGAGACAGCTCCCGGCCCAGCTCATTACATTAGAGATAGTCAAACCAAGATGTTCACATGCTGCCTTCCCAGATCCGGAGGTTGCCGACGGAAGAAAGTGCGCCCAGAAAATGCTGTCTCCACAAGATGTCCTTTCAGGGCTCCCCACCGCCTCTGGCCGTTTGGTCGGAAAGAACACAAGGTGACACCAGGAGTCTCAGAGCCGGCCACCAAGCCCCACAGGGTCTAATCCACCTGTGCAGCCCCAGATCCCCACCCGTGTGTGTGTGTGTGTGTGTGTGTGTGTGTGTGTGTGTGTGTGTGTGTGTGTG